ACCAAAAACCCCGGGGGAGAGACAGCCAACCCTGAGAGCAAAGCCGGGAGCTCCGAGCCGCCCTCCTCTCCTCGGAACCACCCCCACGGTTTGGGACGGCGCCGTACCCGAGAAAGTCCCCTTGGCCAGGCATTCCTTCACCCGGTTGGTCCTCCGGACGTGGAAGGCTTTGGTGATCTCCTGGTTCATGAACGCCTCGTTGTTGAGGATGTTGGCCACCATCATGCGCAGGTCGAACACCTCGAGCAGCTCGGCGATGTGGGCGATGTGCATGAGGTCCCGCTCGTTCTCGTCCAGCTCGCCCGTGTACAGGTACTTGAGCACGGCCCGGAACGGCCCCGGCTGGATGGACGAGTCCATTTTCACCACCACCATCAGCTTGGATTTGTAGGTCAGCGGGTCCTCGGCCATCTCCTCCTGGATGCTGGCGAAGGCGCGGCTCCACGACGAGAGGTTCCGGCCGCGCCGCAGCCCGCGCTCTCCGCCGCCGTCGTAGCGGTCACCACGCAGGATGCCGTCACTGGTGGAGGCTCTAAGGCACGGTTTGCGCTGGCCGGGTCCGGCCTCCTCGGCGCTCTCGCAGATGTCGAAGCTGGCGGCCCGCAGCAGGAAATCCCGCCCGTGGTGCCTCTCCTCCTGGTGCAGCATCCGCTCGGCRGCCGCCGTGACGGCCGCCCCGAAGCCGTGCCCCGCCGCCGCCGCGCCCTGCTGGTCCTCCTCGCTCAGGTCCATGAGGAACAGGTCGTAGAACTTGGAGGAGGAGGTGGAGAGGTAGATCTTGTGTGCGTAGATTTTGATCTTCTCTTGCAGCACCAGGATGACGTCCGCGCACAGCGGGTCCTCCAGGAGGTGGGCCGGACGCTCCTCGTTGTTGGAAGGGGGGTCCGGGACGATGATGATGGGAGGAGGGGGTTTGGGGGGCAGGAAGGGGGCTTGGAGCAGGGGACGCTGCACGTTRCGCAGGTGMGACTTCCAGAACTGCAGGTGGCGGCGGGAGATGAGGGCGGCGCGGATGGCGTTGTCAAAGACGTCCTTGACGCCAAACTGGGCCACCACGCTCGTCTCGTAGTACGGGATCCCCAGCTCCTTGGCCACCTCCCTGCCCTTCTCCGGGGGGAGGATCTCGTTGGGTTTGATTGGCCTGAAAAGGACGGGAGATAATTAACAACGAGATAATTAGCAACGAGATAACTAAAAACGAGATAACTAAAAGTGAGATAACTAAAAAAAAGAAAATTAACAACGAGATAATTAACAACGAGATAACTAAAAACAAAATAACTAAAAAAAAGAAAATTAACAACGAGATAATTAACAACGAGATAACTAAAAATGAGAAAACTAACAATGAGAAAATTAACGAGATAATTAATGAGGAGGCCTCTCCAGATCAGAAGGGAGGGGAAAAACATCTCCGGGGCGTCACCGTGGTCCCACCTGGCCAAGGGTCGCCGTGCCCGGTTGACGGCCTCCAGGTCGGCGTAGCGCAGGTCGAGCTGGCAGCCCACCAGGATGACGGGGGCGCGGGGACAGAAGTGTTTGATCTCCGGGTACCACATGGTCTTCACATGGTGCAGGGAGTTGGGGTTGGCGATGGAGAAGCACAGAACCACGACGTCGGACCTGGMGGGAGGATGGGGAGGGTCAAGGTCCGGCCTGGGGCACCCTGCCCGCCCCGGGGTAAGGGGGATTTGCCCGTCCTTACCTGCCGTAGGCAAAGCGCCTGTCCTTGTGGTGGTCACCAAAGGTGTCCCAGAGGCGCAAGGACACGCTGACATCGTCTACCACATCCCGGGAGC